CCTCCTCTCCTTTCTTTCTTTCTTTTTTTTTTTTATTCTGGGATTTATTTACTTTCTATGGCTGTCACTGGAGCTGAGAGCCGGCTTTAGCTCTGAGGCCGGCTCCAGCTTGAGGCCTCGGCTGCTGAAAACAGGAATCTAGGGTTTGTTTGGGTTCTATAATTGCAACATTGTTTCGGTCCTGCTAGCTCTATCTCTGACTGCTGAAAGCAAGTATCTGGGTTTTGTTTAGCTTCTATAATTGCAACATTGTTTCTTAGAGTGCAGCTCAGAGGCTGGCAAGGCAGGTGGGGAACCTTGGCTTCCTCCATCACTGGAGCAAGCAAGCCTCCTGTTCGCTTCAGCTGTCTGGCTGCCGGCCACCATCTTGGGTGGCAGTTAATTTGCATATTGCCCTGATTAGCCAATGGGAAGTGTGTCAGAGGTACGGTTAATTACAATGTCTGTCTATTATTAGATAGGATTTGCAGTTCATGAATGACTCTATTAAAGTAATAATATAAAAGCATTTTCAACAAACATGCCAAAATTTCCATATTAAGTTGAAAAATATTCTCTTTAGTCACCTAGAGAAAGTGTATTATTTCTAATAAAGTTGACACCACTGCTTAAAACATTTTGGTAACATCCCCTTTCAACCAACTTGAAAATCATTTATGAAAATTATCATGACATCCCAGCCAGTGTGGCTCAGTCGTTGAACATCAACCCATGCACCAAGAGGTTGCCAGTTTGATTCCAGGTCAGGGCACATGCTCGGGTTTTGGGCTCTATCCCTGGTAGAGAGTGCAGGAGGCAGCCAATGCTTCCCCTCTCATCGATGTGTCTGTCTCTCCCTCCCTCTTCTTCCCTCTATCTGTAAAAGTAACAAATCTTTAAAAAATATTTTTAAAAATAATCATTACTGTAAGTTACCTTTTTAAAATTTATTTATTAAGGTATTACATATGTGGCCTTATTCCCCCATTACCCCCCTGACCTCCCTCCTCTGCTCATGCCCTCACCCCCCTGGTGTCTGTGTCCATTGGTTAGGCTTATATGCATTCATACAAGTCCTTTGGTTGATCTCCCCCTTATCCCCACCCTCCCTACCTTCCCTCTGAGGTTTGACGGTCTGATCGATGTGTAAGTTATCTTAATAAATTTTTATTCTCCAGCAGATTTCTTACCTCTATTTAGTTTTAATACAAAATTTAGTTTATAAATATCAGTTATTAAATGAATAATATGAATGATCACTAAGATACTATGGGATATGATTTTTCAAATATCACAAAATGGTAGGTATAGGACTATTTAATCCAAAAATATGTTTTAATAACGTTTTACAATGAGGAAACTATATAACAAATTTGAAGTCTTGGCTTGAAAATTAAAACTAAAGCATTTAGCAACACTAGGCAAGTATTTCCTGTTAATTACTGGGAGCTGAACAGAGGTTGATCCCTTTAAAAGAGGAAATGCATTTTTGCTTTAATCCCTGCTTGCACAATATCCACAAATACACTGACATCAGGGGATTTGACCCATTGTGGTATGCCAGTGAGCATATAGGTCAAACTAAGTTGGCATTTTGGGTGGCCAAATACCCAATTTACCTCATTGCTAGAGGATTACCTGTAGTCTTGCCTTATGGAATTCTGAAATGGCTGTAAAGTTTGGCCAATAAAATGTAGGTGCAAATGAAATATATCACTTTAGGGCAGAAACTTATGAACTAGCATGCACTTTGACAAGTCTGGACATCTAGCTATGAGGCACTATTCCAGGCAGAGGTTTCTCTATTAGCCGTAGCCCTGGAGAATAGACAGCGAATAGCAAAATCACAGTCCATAGCAAACAGGCAGCCTGAGAAATAAATCTATGTTGTAACCCACTGTGATTTGGGGACCATCTGCTGCTACTACATGTTCTAGCCTATCCTGACACACACATTTAAATCACTTCCCCAGCCTCTGTAAGGAACTAAGTTTGTGACCCATGTCTTTGCTGTAAGTTCTCTAATTTTTAGAATGTGAAAAACTGAAGCTCAATAATGTTGAATAATTGTTCAGAAATAATGAAGTCACTGTTTGCATCCAGGCCTATCTGACTCCCAAGTCTGTGCACTTGGGCTGGCCAGAGGTCTCCCTTCCTCCCTCCCTTGTGCTCCAGTGACATGAAGACACTGGGCTGGGGCCTTTTTCTGGAAGAGAGCTGCAGTGGCCAGGGATGGGAGTAATCATGGTGCAGCCATCATGTGACCGTCATGACCCACTGTCTGCATGGAGCTCAGCGCGGTTCCTGGATATAGAATATGCTCAGTAAACACAGGCTTTTATTATTACTCTGTAGGCTATTGACTTACTCAGTAAAGAGGCATTGATGCCTGTGTGCCTGCCATGTGCAGGCAGCCGCCCTCACGGAGCGGAGTCCAGCTGGGGAAGAGCAGACACCGGAGCAGTTGCATTGTCACGGATACGCTGAGAGAATGTCAGGATGGTCTTGCCTGGGCGGGCACTTCTCTGAGGAGGTGGTGTTCATTTTTATTTACTTACTTTTAACTTTAATTCCTTACTCACTATAATGAGACTAAAATGTTTATGCTATTATTTCTATCTTTCTCAATACTATTACTAAAAAAAAAAAAATTTGCTCTGAAATTCAGTGGTTTCTCAAATATCTAATCAAAGTAGATATCTTAATTTAATAAAAAATTTGCTAAAATGTAATAACCACTTTTATGACAGTATTTTCTAGAAATCCTATAAAATACACATGTTAATATATAATTCAGTAGTCTGGGTTTATTTTGTAAACACATTTTGTCTGTACCACTTAAAAATAATTTTGAATCATATTTATTGTTTTGCATACAATTCAGACATTTATTAATATTTAAAAGACCCAAATGCAAAGTAATAAATTTGGATTCTTTTCCCCATAAAAATGGGAAATATATCTTGATAAAGAACTTTTAAAATTATTATTACACACCAGTTAGTTGTTGGAATTGATAGTTCCAGGAAAAAAATACTTAACCAGCAAAATACAAACAAACAAAAAAACACACACAAACAACAAAAAAAATCTGACTAGTATATAAAACAGTTTACAATAATATTGTAAGCAGGAAACAAAAACTGATCAGAAAACACTCTGCCTTAAATTAATTTTCAAACAGATTCCTATTATACCACAGTTTACTCCAAATAACTCTAAGCCCATTAAGAGCTCTTCTATACATACAAAAACTTAGCAAAATTGTACAGTACTTATTGCAATAACAAATTAAAAGTTGTCATAATACATGTAACTTAAATACCCCCCCCAATGATAAAGTGGCTTCTTATTCTTTAAACATAAAAATTCTGCTCTTCATTGTAGAAAGATGAAATCCTCTCATCAAAAGGCACATTCTTATCTGCAAGGGGAAAAAAAATACTGTAAATGCTCATCCTGGAATATATTTAAACATATTTTAAAATATTCCCAAAGATTTGGAGTGGCAAGAAGATAATAAAAGTATTGAATATTAGGGAATTATAATGAATTACACTAATAAAACAGGTTGTGATTTTGTCTATATTAATTATGTCAGGTGCTATCTGTTACATTATAATTATAACCTTTTCAAAGACATTTTATATGTAACTAGTGTAATTAAAGACTCGTTCATAGTCATACCAAGTTACACCCTCACATAAGTGACTTTAATAACCTTAGTGCTTATTCTGATAATATGTTATGTTCCATGTTAAAAGTAGTGTTTTAGAAATTAAAACTATTTTCCAATTGGTAACATTTTCTTTAATATATATTTTTTTATTGATTTCAGAGAGGAAGGAAGAGGGAGAGAGAGAGACAGAAACATCAATATGTGAGAGAATCACTGATTGGCTACCTCCTGCACGCCTTACACTGGGGATCGATCCCACAATCTGGTCATGTGCCCTTGACTGGAACTGAACCTTCAGTCCGCGCACCAATGCTATATCCACTGAGCCAAACCAGCCAGGGCCCAATTGATAACTTTAAATAAAATCTTTTTAATGAGGCTTTCTGGATAAACACTTGAATCTGCCTTCTGATTGTGATATGCTGATGTTAAAAAACAGAAAATATTTTGTGGTCAAGTAACACTGCCTACAAATGTAGTGAACACATACACTACAATATTAAACGTAATGATGCAGAATAGAAGTAGCTAAAAAGAAAATTTAGGAACTTTAATAATTACAAAACTGGCAAAAATTATTAGAATAGCTTTGAAGTAATAGAATTACTAGTTTTTAGAAGTTGGTAGAACTGTCAAAATTCCCTTTAGTGTAGATTATAAAATAATAATAATTTTGCTCTTTAGTAGGAATCAAACAAAATAGCAAGAAGGTATTGTTCCTATTTGTTGTTTTGTGTTGTAAAGCACTGTTTTAAATTGCATTTTTGATACTGGTTATGAGTATTTGTTCCCAATATTTTTAAATTATGTTAAATATATAAAATATATTGTTTCACTTGAGGAAAATGCAAGTAGTTTTTAATCAGAATATGCTTTTAGATTCCTCATCAAAATTTCTAAGAAGGCTGAAGCATTCTATATAATAGTTAAATAATTGTTATTTGTTTTTTAGTTTTATAATTTCTTTGTGTAAAATGTTTCCATAACTAAACAACAGAAATTCCTTTAATATATAAAATGAGAATATCAATTGCAAATTCAAGGGAAGGTAACCAAGCTGCTCAAGTTAATTTTTTCCATATACCTACAAATTTTCCCTATTAGACTGTATTAACCTCAATTGCTTAAATTACTAGATACAGTGGTAACGGTGGTTAACTCTTTAATATCCAATCAATCCCCAAAGATAATTCTGATCTAATCATGGCACTTTGATTTCCCCCCCTCCAGGGTTATTTTATTTTATTTTTAATATATTTTTATTGATTTCAGAGAGGAAGGGAGAGGGAGAGAGAGAGAAAGAGAAACATTGATGATGAGAATCAATGATCGGCTGCCTCTTGCAAGCCCCCTACTGGGGATCGAGCCCACAACCTGGGCATCTATCCTCGACCAGAATCTAACCCTGGACCCTTCAGTTCACAGGCTGACATTCTATCCACTAAGCCAAACCGGCTAGGACTTCCCAGGCTTAGTTTAGAAATGATTACATGACCAATGATATAAAAAACAAAAACAAATAAGCAGCAAGTCACTTCCAGAAAACAATTCTGTTAAGAGTTTCTAGGGAAACTTTTCTCATTTCTAAGAAACAGTTACAAGAGAGCTAGTGCCTAACTTCTAGGGAAAGGTAGCATTCTGAATGTCATTATAGGAACTGCTGGCATCATCTTACTGTGAGCCTAAAAATGAGTAACAATAACAAATTAATAGTTGTCATAATACATGTAACGTAAATACCATGAAGCCAACACATGAAAATGGGCAGAACCAAGGGGATCATGGAGAAAAGAAGCCAGAGCCCAGAAATACTGTGCCTGGAGTCAGCCCTACCTGTGACATCTTCCATATGAATATATCCTCTTTAGAAAATTTAGACTAAACAATATTTGACAGTTTTAGATTGTTCAATCTAATATCAATAGTGAAAATAATTACCTCAAGTCCTAACTACCAACTACAATCATTATTAAAATTTTGATATATCAAAAGCCACATTTAAAAAACATCCCTTTCAGAAAGGGCTAATTATAAAAGGCTTATTTTATACTGTGGTAAAACTGTAAGCAAGGGAATCCATTTACCTTTCCGGAAATAACTTGTTTCCTGTTATTTCATGGACAGAATTTGGAAAATGAGGAGGAACTAATTTTAGAAAGCACTTAAACAATGAAGGCAGCAGAGTACGAGATGAGCCAACAAGAATTACCAGCAGTTATACTGTAGACCAGTGATGGCGAACCTATGAAACGCGTGTCAGAGGTGACACGCGAACTCATTTTTTTGGTTGATTTTTGTTAAATAGCATTTAAATATATAACATACATATCAAAAATATAAATCTTTGTTTTACTATGGTTACAAATATCAAAAAATTTCTATATGTGACACGGCACCAGAGTTGTTAGGTTTTTTCCAAATGCTGACACACCGAGCTCAAAGGGTTTGCCGTCACTGCCAGTGTAGGCTAATATGATTTTGCATTGCAACTGACAAGGTAGGCAAAACAAAATATTTGTATTTCTCATTTTTAGGGTCCTCATTTGAAAATGAATAATAGCAAGTGCTGGTTTAGATAACAAAACAAACATAATTTATCATTATTCTTTCCATAGGTATTTAATAAATGGAGTGAGATTGCAGCAGGAAGATAAGTCTAAATCATTTAAACTCTCTGAGCTTCAGTTTTCCTATCTTTAAAATGAAAGCCGGAACTACTTTGCAAGAATGTCTTTATTTCATGTAGTACAGGTAGGGAGTCTAGCACCGTGTCTGGCACATCCTGCTCTAAAGTAGGTATTTATCAGCAAGTGACTATTACAATCACCCCTATTGCAGTTCTGTTACCCCACTCTGTCCAGGCTTCTCCCTGGGCTCAGTAATAGGACCCCTGATCTTATCCCCCTGACATCCCACCACTACCACCCATTTCATGGTTTCTTCATACATGGCTGTCTTAGAAAGCACTGGTGAAAGTCTTCTTTCGGGGCCCCAAAGACCTTATAATGCAGTCTTCATTTTAGTACTGATTTTTTACCTTTATTGGGAGAAACAAATGGCATTATACTTGATTATTATGTGTTATTAAAGTGAGTCATAATAAGATCTATATGCATCTTTCCTACAGGGTAAGTTTGAAGTGTTAAATAAATAGATGGCATAATGTATGTTTAATTCTAATACCAATATCAGAACATCAGATTCCTGCTCACTGAATCAATGAAGTTTGGACTCCAGTTTTCCTTCATTCAAATAATTCCCCTTCTATCCAAATGTCCTCTATTGACTAGAATCTTGACTGCCTCTTTTCCTCATTCATTTGCACTGAAAGAAATTCTATATCCATATAATTTCACTTATCCAAACCTCTTGGGAAAGGTCTTAACACTCCGCAGGGCTGGATTTGAGAAAAGACAAAACTACACTACCAGACCATAGACCATTAGTCCCACAATTTTGCCAAGAAGCACTGTTTACAGAGTAACCCCAATTAACACCAAAATATCTTCAGAATGCAGTAATAAAATCAATTTTACCATCTCCTTCCCCTCACCACAAACACACACACACAGAGTTAATACATATTCCCAGTATGCAGCAATTGAAAGGACAAATTTCTGCAAGGAAATCTGCAATAAAGATTTCTTTTGAGGATGGTCTTCTATTCTTTATGTTTACTTTAGTACAACAATGTGCATGTGAGCTATTGGTTGAGTAGCACCAAGAACTTCATTAAACAGAACTAAATAAAATCTGTTGGAATAACAACTATTAAAAGAAACTGTACTTTATTTTTTCAATTTGCTTGTTCAGGACTTGCCTCCTGATTCTTGGGATTAAACTGCGGGACACTTACCTTCGAGGATGATTGGCATCAAACAACGTGTTGTCATCATCCTCATCATCCTGTTCTAAAGGTGTCAGTTCCATGTTTTCTATATTAGTGTCCAAAACTCCGTATCTCCTAGTCTTTCGGTTTCTTCTTCTCATCCTATTAAATAGAATGTATTCATAAATATTACTTAAATAGGGTACAGATGATCCTTATTTTGTATTTATTTGTAAATTAAAAATAAAGTATCCTCTCTGTTTCTGACACAGGAGATTCTCAATATCAGAATGATTCCATTTCAGAAATGTAGCCTAGGTTTTTTTATGAACCATGTTTGTGTGCCATCATCATTTCTTCTGACATACCCCCTTCTCTTTCTGTCAAGTTATGGTGTTGGTAGATAATCCTTTAAGCCTTAACTCGGGTGCCATATTTTTACTGTAGCTTTCTAGTCCAACCTTTTCCCCACATTTTCCATGCATTGTTACCACTGTACAGGATTATATACTTTCAGCCTTACTGAGAAATGATATGTCTATACATATTCAAACGCTAGACTGGGTATGAATATGAGTGATATCATGTTTGAGATGAATATTACATATTCATCTTAATTACTTTGTTTTGATTTTTAACAATCTTTTATAAATGTGAAACATCCTATTTCATAGGCCTTAAAAAAAAAAAAAGACAGCACATTGGATTTGTCATATGGGTCATAGTTTGCCAATCTCTGATTTAGATTTATAAAGGTAATTCACAGAAAAACTGAGAACAGGAATGATAAAAATGCTGACTCTGGAAATAGAAAAATAAAAGGTACAGGGTGTTATAATTCACTATTGATCCTTTTGAACTACATGATTTAATAACATTTGCATGTATTCCTTTGATTTGAAAAAGTGAAGGGAGACACCTGGCAGCAAAAGTTAAGGATATTCAGTTATAATTTCTCCTCTTTCCATTTGCCAGTCTTTTACTCTATTTCTAAACATTCATCTTCAGTCAACAAAGAAAAATTAATGTCATAGGAAATTATTTTTAGAAATAAACCAGGTTCTTCCAGGTTATATATTATATATCAAATAGTCAATATGTTAATAGCTTGGTCATTGCTGGTCACAGGATACCTTGGAAACTCTTGAAAAAGGGAATAATATGATCACAGAGCTTAAGGACTTGTGAAATTTAATCTCAGCTGTCACTCTTCTCCACTCTCACGGTCTTCATCATACCTTGAATGAATTCCCTATCTTTCAATGTGTGGCTAAACAAATATGCCTACTAACACTAATTTTTCTATCTGTGTTCAGTGTAAATAATTCACTAGACTTTGTGAGTCTTTATTATTTATGCTAGTTTGTACTGTCCTTTAATCATGTATATAACTATCTTCCAAACATAAATCCAAGCTCTTGAAAAACAAGTTACTATATAGTGAATGCATTGTTATGCACCAAATAAACAGGGGAATGCAGATAAATTTAAATTAATTTAGTATTTTAGTAAATTCTACTAGTTTATATAAGAATAAGTAAAAAAAAAACTGTACAGTGTTAAATATAATTTATTATTTCCCATTTTAGAGTCATTTTTCTATTTTAGTTACAGTTGACAGACATTATACTAGTTTCAGGTGTACACTTCAGTGTTAGACATTGCATAACTTAATGTCGATATGTGATCATCCCAATAAATATCACACCCATCTAACACTATACATAGTTATCAGAATATTATTAACTATATCCCCTGTGCTGTACTTTACATTCCCATTGAATTTATACTTGAAATGAACGTCCCTAAAAGTGTCCTTTTTAGATTCAAACATATAAGCAGTCAGTGATAGTTACATGGTTGTGACAGCTACATTGTCATGGGAACATCTATAATAATAATTTCATGCATCGGGCCTCTAGTCAAATATGAGAAAACATGTATGTACCCATACACATTGGTTTTTCGCAGAGAAGGTAAAAAACAGCTGTAAAACTTTAAAATAGGTTGATTCAATGAACCATCTACTTAAAATACTAACAAACATGTGTAAATTATAATATGCATAAAAATATACTAAAATTTTTAGTAAAAAGGCTACTTTTACCTTTGTAGTGTACATTATTTCTTAACAAGTCTATTTTTGTTTTTAAATGAATATTCAGAAAGTTGTAATTTTACTGCCCTTTTTATACCAACTGAAAAAAAAATAGGAGCACCAAAATTAGATGGAGAGGTAGAAATCTTAGACTTTTGCCCTAAATTTTTCTTTAAATTCTTCAATTACAGTTGTCATTAAATATTATTTTTATACTAGAGGCCCGATGCACGAAAATCGTGCAAGGGGCTCGGCTCCCCACTGCCGCAGCATCATCCATAAAATTGTCCAGAAGGACATCTGGTCTAATTAGCATATTATGCTTTTATTATTATAGACTAGAGGCCCGGTGCACAAAAATTTGTGCACGCGGGGGGGAGGGGGAGCTCCCTCAGCCCTGCCCGTGCCCTCTCGCAGTCTGGGACCCCTTGGGAGATAACGACCAGCTGGCTTAGGCCTGCTCCCGGGTGGCAGAGGGCCGGCCCAATCCCTAGGTGCAGTTCCTGGTCGGGCTCAGAGGAGGGCCGATTGGGGAGTTGGGGTGCCACCCCGTCATGCACAGAGCAGGGCGGATTGAGAGGTTGCGATGCCACCCACAGTCACGCTCAGGTAGGGCCAATGGGGGGGTTGGGGCACTGCCCCCTGTCACACTCAAGGCAGAGTCGATGGGGAGGTTGTGGTGCCACCCCCTGTCACACACAGAGCCGCAGGGCTATCAGGGGGTTTGGGCGCTGCCCCCGTCACACTGATCCCGGTGCCGGGAGGCCTCTCAGCTCCGCTGATCCCAGGCTGGGAGGCATATTACCCTTTTACTATATAGAATAGAGGCCTGGTGCACGGGTGGGGGCTGCCTGGTTTGCCCTGAAGGGTGTCCTGGATGAGGGTGGGGGTCCCCACTGGGGTGCCTGGCCAGTCTGGGTGAGGGGCTGAGGGCTGTTTTCAGGCTGGGACTGAAGCTCCCAACTGCTTCTTTTTTTCTTTTTTTTTATTCTGGGCCAGCTTTAGCTCTGAGGCTCCAGCTCTTAGGCCTCCGCTCCTGAAAGCAGGTATCTGGTTTGTTTGTGTTCTATAATCGAAACTCTGTATCAACTCCAGCTCTGAGATCCCAGCTCCCTAAAAGCTGGTTTCTAGGGGTTTGTTTAGCTCTATATTTGTTACAATGTTTGAAACTGCAGGCTCAGAGGCCGGTAAGGCAGGCGGGGGACGTTGGTTTCCTCCGTCACTGAAGCAAGCAAGCCTCATGTTAGTTTCAAGCTGCCTGGCTGCCGGTGGCCATCTTGGCTGCAAGGTAATTTGCATATCTCACTGATTAGCCAATGGGAAGGGTAGCGGTTGTACGCCAATTACCATGTTTCTCTTTTATTAGTGTAGATTAGTTTCCATTGCACAGAATAATGGTCAGATAATTACATAATTTATGAAATGATCCCCAATAATTCTAATACCCACCTGGCGCCATACATAGTTATTACTTTTTAAAAAATATATATTTTTATTGATTTCAAAGAGGAAGGGAGAGGGAGGGATTAAAACATCAATGATGAGAGAGAATCATTGATCCGCTACCTCCTGCACGCCCCACATTGGGCGTGCAACTAGGGCATATGCCCTGCAACTAGGGCATATGCCCTAACCAGGACCTCCTTGTTTATAGGTTGATGCTCAACCACTGAGCCATGCTGGCTGGGCTATTAGAATATTATTGACTATATTTCCTATTCTGTACTTTATATTCCTGTGACTATTTTGTAACTACCAATTTGTACTTCTAATTCCTTCACTTTGTCACCCAGCTCCCCAAACTCCCTCCCATCTGGCAACCTTCACTTTGTTCTCTGTATCTCTAAGTCTATTTGATTATTTTGTCATTATTTTTAATCACAAGAGTAAAGGAGGCTTTAAACTTAGGTAATTTTAATAGCTACGGTTCTTTTCCTACAAATGAATGTTTCCATTGAGCTCATGATACCCAAACTTGTCTATTTGTGTTGATAATTACATACGTATAATTTATAGGCATGCACACTTTTCTACTAAACATAGTAAATAAATATTGCAATCTGAAAACAAATTTTGTTGGCTCTTGGTTTACAAAAAAATAGGAACTTTATTTATAAATGCATAGAGATGGAAATATGGAGGCCTAAAAGGGCAAAAGAAAATAGCTACATGTTTTATTATATTGAATTATATTCATTCATCATATGGCACGCACAGGTTAATGATTGTGATCAGATCCCTTCTAGGTATTCAAGTGATTATTCAAACAGTTATCCTACATAGATGAAGATTCCATTACACTCAGGTTGGTAAGAATTATTTCAGCTTAAATAACCTGTAAAAGCTACAGTAGAAAAGCAAAACTAAACTACTAAAGTAAGCTTGATAAAATTTTATGTAAAATTGTATGATGCAACATAAAATAAACACCACAGAATAAAACTCCATTTCATTTTACTACTCTGTGAAAGTAAGAAAACCGACCAAGGTAAATTGCTGTAGCCATCTGACTTTATTCTTTTATTTTCCCTTTTAACTGAATACCTGCAGGGTATTATTGACTATGGAATAATATAAATAACATTATTCTTTAATTTCTTCTATAGCACATTCAAAACAAGACTGAGGAATATTTTACTGTATATTTTATGCACAAATACCCTCCTATGTAATTAGCCATAATGATAAAGCAGAGTATATCTTAATAAAGGTACAACTACTGACATGCAGTATTTTTCTTGACTATTTTTTGCAAAGCACTGGATTAGCAACTAAGAATGATTTATTTATTTTGACTTTACATAAATTTTAATCTTAAATCTAGATAAATTACTTGAAGGAAAGGTACACTTCATTATATTATGGTGAAAACAAGTTGTTATATACATTCATTTGGACTAATTAGATGTCCCCCCCTTTTTTATTGAATTTATAGGAGTGACCTCAGTTCACAAAACCATGCAGTTTTCAAGTGTACAATTCAACAAAACATCATGTGAACACTGCACTGTGTGCCCATCACACCAAGCAAAGTCTCTTTCCATCCCCACTTTAGCCCCCTTTG